AGTTTGCAAGGTGAACCTGTAACATCCTACGGGTTTTTTCCACCCTCCTCAGTACATCCGCCCACTCCCTCCCCCCTTCTAATTTTTTTATCTGTAAGCCTCTGACTCTCATTAAATGTATTGATGATTACCATTTTGTCTCCTCTCCCCTTGGCGTGTAACCTAGTGAGGATATTTTATTACACATTTTTACTAGTTTTTTTTTCTGTTGTCGAGAATAGAGCTCTAAAGATTTGAGTGTAAGCAAGAAACTAATGGAATGAGACAGCCGGTGATGAAAGGTGAATACGGTTTTGGTTTTTTGTTAGCCCATGGTGGGGGGGGGTGCTATGTTATAGATAACTTTCTATGTTATGTTTACCTCTCTTCTAATAGACTTTTCTGAATCTCCATATGGTACTACATATTCCTGATAGTGTCACATGCAGTTGTAGCAACTACTAAGGAGGTGGCAGAGTGAAGGGAAAGTAGAACTAACTTTGTCAAAAAGCTTACTCAGCAACCCAAATCTGAGACTTAATTTATCTCCCCTTAACAAACGAAATAGAAATCACTTGCACAGGCCACATAGCTGTTGTTGAAGAGTCAATCAGATAATTTGGCTTGTAGAAGTCTGACAATATTATATGATTGGGCGGTGTTTAAAATGTAGGGTTTGGTGTGTGGCCCTGTGGTAAAATGGTGCAGGGTTAGACAAGAGCTCTGTGCTTGGCCTGAACCCCCGGTCTCTAGTGCATGCTTGTTTCTGATGTGTCAGAAGCGTGGTCCTGGGCTCAATTATCAGCAACACACACAATATTAAATATTTGTAATCTCTGAATTTATGACCTTTTATCCTGCTAAAATATTAAAATAGTTGGTAGATGCTTATCAAGAGTCCAACGCAGGAGAATTGTGAATTCAAATCCAGTGTGGACTACATAGTGAATTCCAATTCCCTCCCTGTCTTAAAAATAATAGTAAAGTAATAAAAATAAAATGCAATCATTTTATATGCACAGTATACACAACAGTTTTTTTATGACTGGCCATCTCCAACTTCTGATGGTAACAGTTCCTGACTTAAGAGGCATAATTTAGGGATATGATAATCCTTACAGCTTATTTGCAGTTCTTTAAGTAAAGTGAAATATAAACCGGAAATTTGGACACTTAGAAATACCACAACCTCTGTTTTTATGCATTTGTATTCTGCTTTGTATTCTTTTGCCACATTTTCTAAGGAAATTCACTATTATGTTAATAGTTTTTGTTTGTTTTTTGTTCTTTTTGAGACAAGGTTTCTGTGTAAAAGTCCTGGCTGTCCTGGAACTCACTCTGTAGACCAGGCTGGCCTTGACCTCAAAAAAAAAACACCTGCCTCTGCCTCCCAAGTGCTGGGATTAAAAGTCTTAACACTAAGTGGATTGTTTTCATGCTAAATAGAAGCTTTTAAAGTCACTCCCAAAAGGAGTGAATGTTAAAATGGTAAACAGAACAGAGCAGTTTGTACAAGTCATTCATTTTCTTTAACCATATGTTAAAGATGTAAGTTTTGAAGACACATTTATTTATGCACAGGAGAAATTGACTGGCTGGTTTTTTGCTGTTTGACTTAGAAGTACAGTGTGTATGCTGAAACATAGAGATGCTGTTGTTTTGCAGAATTGTTACATCTTTTGTGGAAGAATAGTGACGAAATATTAGGGGATTTATGGTGAAACCAAGAAGAACTAACATGGTGTGTTACTAGCCAGACAGAAAAGTTCATGGGAATACTCTACAAGTCTGCATTCTGCAGCTAATTCAAGTTGGGGAAAAGCAGAATTAAATTAACTAATATGTATAGTGCCTCACTCAATGTTTGACTTATAAGAAACTAGCTATGGTTATTCTTTGGAAATTCATCCAGGTTGGGAAAACATATGACAGGAAAAACAGTGCTCTCTCTCTCTCTCTCTCTCTCTCTCTCTCTCTCTCTCTCTCTCTCTCTCGATTAAGGAAGAAGTAATCTGAGGGAAATGTTTGATTATAGAAACTTTTATACAAATCTTGTAAATTATGTTTTTACAGCCGGTATCTATCTACAGAATGCAAATTCTATTAGAGATTTTATATTTAGAGTAGGAAAAATAGAACAGTAAAAAAGCTGTAAGGATTCTTTGGACACTTCCTAGAAAGGATACTATGGAAGACTAAAGGGGTTTACAGAATCAGTTTGAAAGGAGTGACCTTGCAGTTCGGGTGGGGGGGGTCAAGGATATGTAGGCAGTTTGGCTGTTTATATCTGATAGGTTTTCGGATATTGAATCTTTGTAGCACAGCATGTGTAGAAATGAGAGGACAACTTTATGGGGATTAGGGCTCTCCTTCTGTCTCCCATACAGGTTCTAGGGATTAAATTCAGGTCATCAAGGATGGCAGCAGGTCCCTTTATCCACTGACCCACAATTTATTACTATTTGGTTTTAGTTTTCATTTTAAATATTTTATGTCTATGAACGTTTTGCCTTCATGTATGTTTGTGTACCACATGTGTACCTGGTGCTCTTGGAGACCAGAAGAGGGTGTCAGATCCCCAGGAATTGGAGTTATTTGTGAGTTGTGTGGGTGCTGGAAATACAGCAAATATTATCAACCACTAAGCCATCTATACAATCCCACAAGTTTTATTTAATTATGTATTTCAGTTTAGTTGTTTGTCACTCCCCCTCCCCCGAGACAGTGTTTTCTCTTGTAGCCCTGGCTGTCCTGGAACTCTCTCTGTAGACCAAGCTGACCTCAAACTCAGAGATCTGCCTGTTTCTGCCTCCTAGTGCTGAGTTAAATGTATGCACCACCACACCCAGACAAGTTTTATTTTTAAATGTAGCTTGTTTTCATGATGATATTTCCCCCTGTCTTTTAAACAATAATTTTATATAAACTGATGGGAGAAGTAGAATTTGATAGTCAGAAATTCACATGCCTTTTGGGAATGCAGTGTATACAGTAATCATGCCTACCTCTAACAGTACAGAATACTTCTCATCTTTTTTTTATTTTGTTTTGGGTTTTTTTGTTGTTGTTTTTTTTTGTTGTTGTTTTTGTTTTTCAAGACAGAGTTTCTCTGTGTAGCTTTGGAGCCTATCCTGGCCCTTGCTCTGTAGAGCAGGCTGGCCTCGAACTCACAGAGATCTGCCTGCTTCTGCCTCCCAAGTGCTGGGATTAAAGCCCAGCCATACTTCTCATCTTTATAATATGAACAGACACCAAGCCCCAGATGATAGCCACTCAAAAAATCCCACTGAAATTCTATGATTTTGCATGCTTAGACTTGGATCTCTCATTAGATTGTGGTAACTTATGTCAGATAGGTCTAAATTAAATTAACTTCTTTCTTGAGAGTGGGCAGTGGTAGAAGTGTGCAGAATGACCATTTTTACTGTGTAATGCAGTTAGCACCGGGTGGCATGTTTATGTTGTACATGGCTGTACCTCACTGCTGACTTGCTGAAACAGTGCTAGATGGGATGAGAAGTTTGGGAAGCTGAGAAATGGCAGGAGGCATGATCTCCACTGTACATTTTTTTGTATGTATAACCTGTGTTTTTTCTCCTCTCCTCCTGCCTAATGTCACATGCTAAGCCAGCTGGAAGCCGGATCTTAATTTTATTTGGAAGCCTTGCATAAAAGGATAATCTAATTTTTGTTGTGTTTAGAATGTGGTACTATATGTATCTTTGAAGATTTACATTTGCTGTGTATAAAGGAAAACAAAGTTTTCTCTAGCTGTGGTATTGATGACTTCATATTATAAACTGAAAACAGGAGACATGGAGGCAGCAGAAGAGACAGAGTGTTCAAATGCACACATACATGCCCAGATACCCACAGCACACACATGGGGGTCAGAGGACAACTTTAAGGAATCTGTTCTCTCC